ACCTTCCAAGTCCTAACCACCCTAACCTTAATCCTCACTCATACTTGGTAAGATTAAAATCCTTTATAAAATCATATTTGAAATACATAATGTAGAATAACAGCTTGAGAAAAAGAAGAAGAAAAACAGACAGAGAACAAAAGAAATATGTGCTCAGAAGCCAATTACCAAACAAAAAAATGCAATAACAAATTAGCAAACTTTCCAAAGAATTGGGTAATTTTCGGCAAGGGTTTTGGATGGAGCAAAATAAGAAAAATGTCTCATTTGAATAAGGAAAAAGTGAAACTAGATATGATGGGATTAGTGCCCCATCACTTCCCAATCATACAGGGTAATTTCTTTTTTTTATCCAATCAATCTAATTGATTGGTTTCCCTAATTTTAGTCAATCAATCTAATTAATTGATTTCCTTAATTTTCTCCATTGTCTTCAAATCTAATTTTATGACTTTATTTAAATTCAAATTCAAAATTCAAAATTAGAATTCAAATTAATTTTATAAATTTAACATTTTAATTAATTAGGTTACACCACGGATCAAGTCTCACTTGGCACACGACGCATATAATTTCAATTTTTGTAAAAACTTGCTTAAGATGGAAAGTCTATTTTTTTCAAAAGAATCTAAATCATTGTATGAAATTACACATGAATTTTTTTTTCACAGAATAACTCTGAATTATAATATAGTATAGATAAATTTCTACTGTGAACACATTGTAGTGCCAAATTCTATAGTTATAGGCCTTGGTTATAATCTACAAAGCACAGATACGTTGTTTGTTTAAAAAAATACGTGTCGGACACGGACACGCTCCGACAAGTTTCGACACGCGGTCAATATTTTGGGACACGTTGACTATCTCGACACGCGATTTTGACCGTGTCGGACACGGTCAAAGGGCAAAAATGTAAAATTTTCAAAATTTTTATAAAATTAAAATAATTTAAAAACAAAAGCAGACAATAGAGACAAAGCACCATAAGGGGACGAGGATGCAAGGGACGAAGGAGTGAGATGGCACAGTCCTTATTGTTCCCGCTGTTCTTCGCCGCCGCCGCAGGGTCGAACTCTGACGATTTGGAAGCACAGGTCCTACAGGTGACCGGGCAAAGCCGCCACGCTCTCTCCTTTGCTCGCTTCGCTCACAGGTACTGCAAGAGCTACAAGACGGTGGAGGAGATGAAGCACCGATTCAGATCTTCTCCAATAATCTCACTCTAGCGTTTATGGAACTTTCAGAACAGAATGTTTAGCTACAAAAAGTTAAAACGATAAATAAATATTAAAGGCTATGTGGGCTGAGGGCTCTAACTTTAATATTTATTATTTTGTTAACGTGACGGTGGTTATGCTGTAAAAAAAATGATTTGTACCAAAAAACAAATAGTTGCAGAATAGAATAATATGCACGCTTTACTAAATAAGTGAAAATAAAAAGAATGGATCAGAAACCAAAAAGAATGAAAATTATAAGAATATTTGATTGGATATATGATATTTTATTATTTTCTTTATATTTATGTTATGAAATTTTTTTGATTAGTTGTATACTTATTATGGACTGTTATATGTATTACATATAAATTATATTATATATATTAAAAATATTAATTAATATCAAAATGTGTCCTAACGTGTCGAAATATGGCATTTCTTAGAATTAACGTGTCGGCGTGTCGTGTCGTGTCCCGTGTCGTGTGTCAGTGTCCGTGCATCATAGGTTATAATAATTCATAAATGGGTAAATATTAATTATTCTTAAATAAGAAAATTCATTCATTTTGCTACTATTCTTTATTTATAGGATTATGATTGACTCTGAACATTAATTGTGTTGCAATTTTATTTGGCTATTTTTTTTTATGTGATCTTTTTAATTGATTATAATATTACTTATTAATTAATGCATATAGTAGATGGAAAAAAAATACTAAACTTTCAATTTGGTCTTTTAAAAATTTATGTCATCTAGGAGTGTTCATCAACCGAATCAAAAAATGAATAATCGAATCAACCGAAAACTGAAAAACCAAAAACAAAAAAAAATTGTATATTTTAATTGGATTGTATCGATTTTCGGTTTGGTTAGTGAAAATTGATCTAATCCAAACTAAAATCCAATGTATTATGTATTTATTTATTTTTTGAAAGAAGGTGGCTTGAAATATTATTATTTTATAGACTTGGATCTTGGATGTTATTGATAACAAACTATCTTGTTTAAATTTTTTTATTGTCTATTAATCTATTTTAACTCTTCATGAGTTTTAAGACTTGTTGTAGTTTGAAGACTTGAATTTTCTAGTGTAACTTTGTATAGCTTTATTTTGATATAGCTAGTGATTTGTAGGGTTGAAATTTTAGGCTTTTCGAAAAACTGAAAATCAATCCAATCAAAACCAAATAAAATTGAATTGGATTGAATCGGATTTAAAAAAAATTCAAACCAAATGGATGACTAAATAAGAAAACCGAAGGGATTAGATTAAATAATTTTTGCTTCAAAATCGATCCAATCCAAACCACGAACATCCCTAATGTCATCTGATTTTTAAAGATGTTTTGAGAGACTTTCATATTTAAGTATATTTAATTTTTATTTGATTATTTTTTATTGTTTTTAATTTTAAATGATTTTAATTAATCAATGTAAGTAATAGAAAGAAAAACATATAGTAAGCAACTTTATTGACACATGGTGTGGATGTAACATAAAGAAACTTTATTTAAAATATGAAATATTGAATTTGAATTAATAAAACCCATTTCACAATGATAACTCTCTGAAAGACACAGTTATTCTTTGGCTTAATTATGCATGCATTCTATGTTTTCATGATTTAAAGGAGAAATATGTTAAGTGTGGATATTTGAAGATAATTTGAGTGTTGGGACCAATTATTGCGTTTGCTATTTTATTGCAGGTCAATATTGTATCATCGAAAAGCAGTGCTGTAGCAGTGTAGATGAGGTCAGCAGTGCATGTGGTTGACATCATCACCAGCAAGCTATGGATCCAAGCCCAAATTAATGGAGGAAGCTTATGAACGCGCAAACAGAGACCTGATCTGAATACGCACTCATGGATCTTCAAGGAATCATAATCCAATCTCCAACAAATCAGCGCTCACAAATCCAATTAAAATTTGAATTATATATTTGGAAAGATTTGGAGAAGATATGCAGCAGCATGCTCTGTCACTGGATCAACATTACAGCAAAACAGAGTCATATCTTCAATCAACCACAAGGCAGATTCAAGTGAGATTTGCAATGGATTTGAAGAGCTGATTGAAGCCCAAAGCATCAGAATCTATAAAGAGAGGAAAGCTACACTCATCAAGGAGGCTAAAAAGGTTTTAGACACCCATTTAAAGGCAGAATAGAGTGCTTTTAGAGAGAGAAAGTGGGGGAACACTTAAGGAGAATTTGAGGGTTCGTTGAGAGATCCAACGAATCAAAGAAAGGAGCTAGGGTTCAATAGAGAGATCATTGAACCCAATGACTTTCTGCACTATTCCGACAGCTGAGGCAAGGTTGATGGTGGTGGAGCTCACGGTTGCTGCAAGAGTAGTGCTAAAACAACGTCCCTGTTTTTCTTATCTTAGATCTATGAAATCTTATTTTCTTTTTGTTATTTCTTTCCATCCAAGTATGAGCTAAATTGTTAGGATTGAGTGATAGAGTACCCTTATTGTGATGTAATCAATTTGCCTAAACTTTGTTGCATGATTTTCTTTTTAGTTTTTTAATAAAGTGTTAAATTGACTCTAACCTTGTTGATTAATCGAGAGAGAGTTGCAAGATACTTAGCATTTAGGCTATAGAGATATAGGTGAATCCTGAAAGTTATTAAACATTGTGGTTTAACTAAGTAAAATTGGTTAATTGTGGTTAGAGAGATCATTCACACCACAAAATCATATGGAACTTGAACATAATGATTCATAACTATGTTGGCCATAGAGATGTGGGACTTAGTATACATGTATTGTTGGTGAGAGCCCTTGTATGCATTAGTGTTCTGATTACTGAATGGATGATTGTTGTAGAATTGTGACTGCATTTTGGTGAAACTGCAATAATGGGAAAATTGATCTCAATCTATCTTTGAATACTTGGAAAACTTATTCTGTTACTGCATTCTCTTAGTTAATCATTTATCTTAGTTTATTTTATTTCTTAATTGTTAAATTAGTTATTAGTCAACCACAAATCATTCTTGTTACCTTAATTGCTTCACTCAGAGATGTATTTTTACTTAATCTCTGTGGGAACGATATCTGGACTCACACATCCACTTTATTATTTGTTGATATGTGCACTTGCGTACTTGTGTGATTTATATAATTGATTGCAAAATTGCACAACAAGTTTTTGGCGTCGTTGTCGGGGATTATTATAAAGATATTATCTTTTTGTGAAGTAATATTTAATCCATTCTTCTTCCGGTCCTTTTTAGGTATTCCAGCTAGTTTATGAATAACCCTCCTAACCAGCCAGAAGTTGCATTTGATCCAGAGATTGAAAGAACTTTTCTAGCAAGGAGAAGGAGGCAGATACAAAACAAAGCTGTAGCAATACCCAGAATTGTAGACATGGAAGCATACAGGTCTGTTAATGGGGATCAATGAGCAGAGATGCCTATTAGAGCACATGGAGTCCCCACACTCAACAATCTCCACTCGGATGTTGCAGTAGAAAACTTTGAGCTGAAACCAGTTATGTTCAGCATGCTGCAAATAATTGGCCAGTTCAATGGAATGCCAAGTGAAGACCCACATCTACACTTGAAGAACTTCATGGACGTGGCAAATAGCTTTAAGATGCAAGGAGTCACATCTGATGCATTAAAGCTGAAGCTATTCCCTTACTCCTTAGCCAACAAGGCTAAGACTTGGTTGAGCACTTTAGCCCCTAATTCAATCAGAAGATGGGATGATTTGGCTGAGAAATTCTTAGTCAAGTTCTCCCCTCCAGTCAAGGCAGCTCAAATAAGGAATGGAATCACATCTTTCCAGTAGAAAGAAGGAGAATAATTATATGAAAGCTGGGATAGATTCAAAGAATTGATTCGGAAATGCCCTAACCATGGCATACCTGAATGGCTTTAGATGGAAACTTTCTACAATGGGCTAAATGAGCAAACCCATGAAATAGTAGATCCATCATTTGGAGGATCCCTCTTGGACAAGACATTTATAGAAGCTTACCAGATTCTAGAAAGGATGGCAAACAACAATTATCAATGGCCATCCGAGAGGACAATAGCACAACAGAAGGCTGCAGGAGTGCTGGAGCTGGATGCTATAACATCACTGGGAGCACATATATCCTCTTTGACTAATACTATTAAAACTCTGAATCTGAACACTGATGCTAAAGCACAGCCACAACAAGCACATGCAATTTCTAATATTTCCAATGATGTAACATATATTTTCTGTAGTGGTCCTCATATCTATGATGATTGCCCTCAAAATCCTTAATCTGTCTTTTTTGTAGGAAATTATAACAGGAACAATCAATATTCAAACTCCTACAATCAAGGATGGAGGAACAGTAATAACTTGCCTTACTCTCAAGGGCAACATCAAGGGTCAGGCTATGTTCCAGCATAACAGATACATAGACCACCATTCCAGCAGCAGCAACAGTAATTCCAACAGCCCAGACAGCAAGCTGACAACTCTAGCTCATTGGAGAATATACTGAAGGATTTCATGGCAAGGAATGATGCTGTTGTTCAGAGTCAGTCAACATCAATAAAAAACTTGGAGAATCAAGTAGGGCAGTTAGCTGATGTCATGAGAAGCAGACCCATGGGCACACTGCCTAGCAACACTGAAAATCCAAGAAGAGAAGGAAGTGAGCAGATCAAGGCTATAACATTGAGGAGAGGGAAAGCTGTAGATGAACCAGACCATATAAAAGATTACCATAAGATGAAGGAGCAAGAAGGTCAGAATGCAGGAGAGAAAGTTGCAGTGGAAGAAGACATTGGAAAGCAATAGGTTGAAACTGAAACCAAAAGTCCAGAACAGAATGTTGCAGCAAAGAAGCAGCATAGTCAGCCGGTTGACAAAGCAAGTAGACAACCACTTTCTTTTCCTCAAAGGCTTCACAAGAAGAAAGATGACAAGCAGTTCAAAAGATTCATGGATGTGCTGAAGCAATTGCATATCAATGTTCCATTAGTAGAGGCTCTTGAGCAAATGCCTAGCTACGCAAAGTTCATGAAAGACATCTTGTCTAGAAAAAAGGGAGTCAAAGAGTATGAGACAGTTGCTCTCCCCCAAGAAAGTAACAGGTTCTCTAACAAGTTGCCACCTAAATTGAAAGATCCAGGGATTTTCACAATCCCTTGTTCCATTGGCAACACCTACATTGGTCAATCATTATGTGATCTTGGTGCATCCATTAACTTGATGCCCAAGAGTATTTTTGTAACACCCCGTGTATACCCAGTTTGTTATCATATCATCGTATTAAGCAGCGCTTAAATAAAATGCGGAATAAATTTTTTTTTTCAATTATGACGTCATTATCAATTACCAAGTTGATTACTTAATCCTTTTACAAAATAATGCATGTATGTAAATTGCAATGGACAACTATCTACACTGAATAACCTCGTAATATAATAAGTGAGTATCTAAGTCACGGAACTACAACGCGTAGTCCGAACATTAATCTTGATACATTAATACAACTCAAATCTAAAATAAGGCATAGTCAATCAATGTGGCATGGACAACCCCCATGCTCACCAAATAAGGCAACAAAGCCCAACAGGGTCTCAATAACAACACATGATAATAAATATAAAGCAGGTCAGCATCCAAGCATAATCCAAACATATCATCATAAAGTATATATTTCTCAACTCAGCTCCGGCCTCCTGCCGCCCGAGGTCTCAACCCCCGAGTTACCTGAACCTGAAATATATGCCCCAAACGTGGGGTGAGATCTCTAAACAGAAATTTCAGTAAGACAAGGGGTCCTCAATGATTTCTCCACCCCGAGCTCACTTACATGTGCAATACAAGTTCCAAAAGCAGTAATATAATATAAGTTCCAAATCAGTGCAATGCAGCAGAATAATCATGTCATGTGTGTCAACTATTCTACTGGCCAGAGAAATGCAGGATTTACATACGTCTATTACCTACAATCAGTGCAAGTCACTACTTACACCCACCCACAAAATCACCCTATGGCATGTCTACTACATACACAGGCTTACCGTCTAGGTGGAACAACACATGCATATTATAAGCACTTGCATATAATAGCTCAACAGCATTTCTAAATCAATACATGAAAACACATCATGCATATAAACCATCCCCCATGGGGTATGGAGGAACCAACAATGGCTAAATCGAGGACACAAAAGCTTACCTCTTTAAGCAATCAATCCAAGCCAAGTCCACACAAGCTCAATGTCACCAAACAACACAATCACAGTCTGTTTATACAATAATTAATCATCAATAATCATTGCCCAAGATTCTATTAAGTGATTAAGGCTTTCCAACTCACTTTAAGTGATTTTATGCAAATTCTGCAGGAGGTATTCGAATACTCCTCGATGAGTATTCGAATACTCCAAGTCTCCAGAAAGTATCCGAATACTTTCACTTAAGTATCCGAATACCACAAGGTATCCGAATACTTTTCACTCAGTATCTGAATACCACAAGGTATTCGCATACATTACCTTCAGTATCCGAATACTATCCAGTATTCGAATACTTCTTCACAGGTAACCGAATACTTTTCTTCCCAAAAAAGTATCCCAATACTCCTTCAATGAGTATTCGACTACCACAGGATAAGTATTCGAATACTACACGATAAGTATTCGAATATTTATCAGACAAAATGCAGAAATTCGTGCATTCTCTGCATATGTCCCATTTTAAATGTCCAAACTCGATTTGGAGTCCAATAACTCCATCAACAGATGTTCATTAACATATTTTAGACTTAATATATCAGTCCTTAACTCAAATAATCAAAGTTTCACTTTTTAATGGATTAAACAAGCTTAAATCATGAAAATACCAAAGAGGTGATCATGGTATACCTCAAGTGCTCAAAACTCAGAAAATGACACTGACTTTAAGCTCTCAATACAACACCATGGTTCAGCCACTTCCCAAATACGAAAATGCACTTCAAGCTTTGCCCTTTATCACTAAAAATGGCTTCTTGAAGCCATTACACCCCAAGAAAAGGCTCACACCACCAAAACTCAAGAAGGCAGTCCCAAACTTCACCAACTCAGAGGCTAAACTCACAATGAACACTATTAGAAAAATCCTATATAGCGAGGGAATTATTATGCAAATTTCGTCGCTAATTTCATCCTCGCTATTACTTTCCCTCGCAAATTCCCTCGCAAAATTCCCTCGCTATTACTTTCCCTCGCAAATTCCCTCGCAAAGCCTGTATATATTGCAATTACTTAGGATTTCCTGTGTGTGATTTGTCTGCCATGTTCTTTTGGGTTTTACAATGATGATGCATGCGTGACCACATTGCGTGGGCCTGATCAACTCATTGTTTGTGTAACTTGTGCAGAGTCATAGTACTACCTCGGAGGGAGACGTTCATGAGTGGTGGACGAACACCTCTCAAGCTTATGAGATGTAAGGTCATGTGATCACATGGCCATTCTTTGAGGATTGTTTTCTGGGTAGATATTTTACCTATGATGTGCAGGAGAGGAAACAAAGAGAGTTTGATCGATTGGTGCAAGGCTCGTTGACTGTGGACGAGTACTTGGCTAAGTTCAATGAACTGGTCAAGTTTTCACATTTCCATATTGCTATGCCTACCCCGACATTTCTGGCTTCTAAGATTCGCAGGGGACTTAATAAGGATATAGCAGACAGGATTGCTAGAGCTGCATCCAGAGATTTTATCACATTGATTCAGCAGTGCCGGGATATTGATGAAGTCTGCATTGTGAGAAAGGCAGAGAAGGCCAAGTTATCTGAGATTAAGGGAACTGGTGGTTCCATTTCTTGGAAAGACAAGAAGTTTCCTGGAAAAGGAAAGGGAAAACAGTTGGCTGCTAGACAGGCACCAAACCAGTTCAAGAGGACTTTTTCTCAGGGGAGTTCAGCTAGACCTCCTACTCCCAGGTGTGCCGTTTGTGGGAGATTTCATGTTGGACCATGTGCCACTGGGCAGGTCATTTGCTTTCACTATGGCAAGGAAGGCCACTATGCTAGAGATTGTCCATCGTTTATGGCGAGAGCTGTAGCGGTTCAGGCGATTCCATTGTAGATAATTCCTACCGCATCTACAGCGGCACCTGTCGTGCCACCTGCTACTGATCGTGTTTATACTTAGGATCGGCAGCAGTCGGACAGAGCTCCGAACCTTGTGCGAGGTACTATTACCGTTGGTGGTTCCGCTATTGATGTATTATTTGATTCCGGGGCTACGCATTCTTTCATTGCAACCCCGATTGCTGTGTGCTTGAGTTGCCCATTTATGTCTTTCTCCACCGTTACAGGTGACTACCGCCACCAAAAAAAAGTGTGATATCTCTATTGTACGTCGAGATGTCGTGTTTCAATGGGATGGTCGTGAGTACTGGGTAGATTTGATAGGAATACCGATGGCTAATTTGGAGATCATCCTTGGCATGGATTGGTTGTCCAAAAATTGTGTGATGATTGACTGTTGTTCAAAGTGCGTGGTGATGTCTCCGTGTAATTCCACAGCCAGTTCCTCGCCTTATATTTCAGTGCTGCAGGCTAGGAGAGCCTTGAGAGCAGGGGCATATGGTCATGTCGTGTTGGGAGGTTTGGTGAGTGGGACACAAGAGGACATTGCTGGCATTCCTGTGGTAAGCGAATTCCTCGAGGTGTTTCCTGAAGAGATTCCTGAAGAGATTCCTGAGTTTCCGCCACAGAGAGAGATAGAATTCTCCATTGATTTGTTGCCTGGTGTGGGGCCTATTTCTTTAGCTCCATATCGAATGTCTCCACCAGAGTTGGCAGAGCTGAAAAAGCATATTGAGGATCTTTCGGCGAAAGACTTCATCCGACCAAGCGTGTCTCCATGGGGAGCACCAGT